AGTGTTTGTGAATAAATTGAATAAATCTGTATTTCTGTGGGAATTGTTTTTGTAATAAAGATAAACGTTTCCTGTATTTCACTCCAGCTGCTCCATGTTCCTTCACCGTTTGATGTCATTCAGTTCCTCCTTCTGTCCTCGACGACGTCCTGGTCTCTGTCAGGCCACCTCCAGGAGCGCTGTCGCATTTTCCTCAAACCTCCAACAATCCGTCCCTGCTTCCCATCCATGGTGGTCCGTCCAGGGGTTTCCACCCTGGCCTCCTCGACTCCTCCGCCCTCGCCCACCTGCTGGTCTGTTCTTCGCTGGTCGGACTTTCCAGCCCTTTAACCTCAGCTGTGGTCGTTCGCTCCACGTCTCTGCGGGTCGCACGATGCAGTGTCCTGACAGGGCGTATCCCAACAAGCGTTTAAAGGACAGGGAGGAGAAGGGAGGAGGCGTAGGAGGAGCGCCGAGGGAAATGAGAGGCAAGGCTGAGGAGGGAGAGTCCAAGAGGGACTGCAGCCTTCGACCAAACCACCACTTCAGAGCTGGAAACCATGAAGAAACAAAAAGCAGAGGTGAAAGGTCGGCCAGCAGGGACAAACACGTTGAGAGGACTAAAGATGAGAAAAAAGGCAGCGGAAATGATCAACACTCGACTCAAACCCTCGAATCTAAACCGGTTCCAGATCAGGTTCCAGAACACAAAGCAAACCCCTGGTTCAAGAGAAAAGCTGAGGAGGAGCTGTGTCATAAACCAAACCCCTGGTTCAAAGGAAGAGGTCCTCATTGGAAGGAAACTGGGCCAGCACCAGCAGAACAGTTGACAGATGGAAGTGTGGGTGCAGCAAAGTGGACCGGGCTAAAGTCCAACCCTCCCAGCACCAGTCAAACCCTGAACGTGTGGCATCGAGTCCACAGACCACCTCCTTCACCATGGATCCATCTGCCTGTGAAACGTACGCAGGACTTTATTCTACGTTTTTTAATTTAGTTGCAAGTTTCCAAAGCAAACAACAGTTTTAATGGGATCCACGATAAGTTATAACTTTAGACTTTATTTAATAAACATAAATTTTAACTATAAAATAAAGACCACCATATATATG